TTTTGAAACTATTTGTTATCTCAGTACTTACAGATTTCTGTTCATATATTCCCTAAAATAGTGTTTTCAAATGGCAACCCATGACCAATGAAATACATATGTAGATGACGAAGCTCAAGACGCTTAATCATAATTTATCTATAGCAAATCAAGCGATAAAATGCTTATGCTCAATCCATACTTTCAATTACACATTTTATTCTAATTGAATCAAGAGTACGTAATTAAATAATAGCATATAAACATACTCCAGTTGACAATGAGTTGATGTGCCGAGTGAGCCGCTGCAGTACAGGGTATTTATTAAACAATAAAATTCGTCGTGCTATTTTGACCATTCGCACACGTCCAAAGGCGCTGGCACGAGCTGTGAATTTTCGATGGGGTGGCCGCCCGTGGACGTGGGTGTTCCGCTTGGTGGTGTCTATGTGGTATAGGCTATATGCTATGGGCCACATCCGATCCGAACCGAAGCGACAACAGGCGGCGCCAGCCGAGGCGGAGCCGATCCAGAGCCGAGTCCCAGTGCCTCCCAACTGTTGAGCAAGGAACCTTGCCACCCGCACCCGTAGCAACCCTGCTCGCTCCGATCCGGCCGAGCACCCCCATGTGTATATAGTTTGGATAGCTGATAGCTTGGAGCTCTGGGCAGCAGCCGACGAGTGCGCTGCTCGGCAAACCAGTCATTCTAAATCGACGCCTGGCGGACTGCGGACGCGCTCCTCGGATCGAATCGCCTTCGAATTGGTCGGTTGATCAAGTGTCGCGCGCACTAATCATTAATTAAGTGTCTTAGGAGAATAGTCCCGATTTGGCCAACGAAACGGGTTTCCATCTACCAGCGGCATTTGCGAGCGACTGTGCTCTTGCGGCAGGCTCATTTGTGAAAAAGAAATATCGTTTGCAGTTAGATTTACTTTGATTTTCACCTCAATCACCTGCAATCGAGCGCAATTATCATACCGGCAACATGGAAACCACAACACCTGTGCTGGACCTGTTGATGCTGCAAAACACGACTACTGTGGCGCCTCCGAAAGCCCTCTATGCGAATCGTAATAGCCTGATTATTGGGGCTATTATCATGGTTTTGGGCGTTTTTGGCAATTCGCTGGCACTTTTCATTTTGGCGCGCAAGAAGCTCAACAAAAACAGCAAATACACGCTCATGTTGCGGTAAGTGTCGCCTATGCATTGTGAAAAATATAATAATGCATTTAAAAACATAGTACAGTTTGTTTGAACGACTACAAGTGGAGTTTCTTTTCTGTAAAACATTTAAAAATGAACCCATTTTAGTAATTCATAGTTGTGGTATTAAACAAACAATGCCGAATGCGTACAATGCTTACTTTATTTGGGTTGCACTGTATTATTATTAACATTATTATTGAGCTGGCATTTCGCATATTTTCTTTGCGTGTAGCTACTCATTTGGTGCAGCTAATGTTTGCGACTGTTTGTGTCCAGTTCATGGCTATGTAAGTTTATTCAACCTGCTCTCAACTGCGGCCACTTTGGGGTTCTATAATATGCCTATGCGGGTCTGATTTGCATAGTTTGAATTGTTTTACTTGGCCGAGGCTTTGGTATTGCTGCTTTTTTTGCATATCTTATCAAATGACGGAATTAGTTCATATTCCAGTCTGTTTTTTGTCAATCTTATCGACGACGTGGGAATGCAGCAAATTGCGAATGCATTAAAAGCTTTGTGGTGTAACTGAAAACGGAGATCGGTGGTTGACCAGATCGGCAAGTGTGTACAGTGGAAACCCTTTAATATGTATTGGAATTCTTCCTCTGTAAATATGAAAAAATTGTACATATACTAAGTAAAATACGATTGGCTTAATACAATACTCATGATGTAGTGACAAATCTTACATACATTAGATTAATCATAAAAAGATGTTCAAAGAAAATAACAGCGATAAAATGCCATGATTTATATATACCACAATTTATATTTCATTTATCAGCATTGTATACTCCTTTCGTAACTTTTTCTGCTGAGACGACAGTGCGTATGCGTAATATGCGTAATTTGCTGTCGCCAGCAATTTGAGCCGTGGAGGAAACATAAATTAATGCGAATTCCACGCCAGGCATCAGGCCTCCTTTATGCAGAGCCTTTGATCTGTAATTTGATTGATTGAATGAACCCGGTGATTGGCACTTGAGCGTTCTCGATAAATCAGGGTATCCCAATTGAAAGGCAGCACCCTTATTGCTTTTTGCCTATGAACGAGAACCGGAATAGCTGTGTGTATTTTCCCATTGCTACAGTAAACAATGATTTTGCTTTTACTAGTAAGCAGAACGATTTTGTATTTCTCACTGCAAACTGCCATTGAAGAATTAGACATTTTAGCCCTGTAATGAAAAGTTCCGGCGTTCTGGCTTCTAGCAAAACTTTTGCAATGCACCATAAAATGAGTTTTATTCGCTCGTTCGCTGGAATCAGGCATAAAGGTGCACAAGCAAATAATGAAAATAAAAATGAATAAAGTCATTGCAATGCCTAACGATGCACGGACTGTTGGCCAATCCCCGGGAATTGTCAATCCCACTTTTGTATTCTATTCTAAGCGTGCGTTTTTATTTATTTCCATTGAAAAAGGCCCTACATTTATATAGTTTCATTTCACGCGGAGACAAATGGGTTTCCTGTGTCAACGGCGCCCCAAAAACAATCAAATGGAAACACACAAACACGTCCCAAAAATGCAATATTTTGTGGTCCCAATAAAAGGAAACACTTAATCTCAGTCACTATTGACAGTCACATATTTCATTAGATAGATACTTTAGTATAAGGAACCCTTATTTCAGTTTATATCAAACAATAACTGGGCTCCCAGTATGTTTATTTGATAATAAAGTGTAGTATCGTTTTAAGGTTATAAGAACTTATTCAATATATATTTTATACTCTGCCTAGAACTGAATTGAAATTTATACGAAAAACATTTGGTACTTCTCTACATAAATTGAAATAAATGACACTTTTAGATATCCATATAATGGACACCCAAATAATTAAGCATTTATATTTGTCGGCGTTCCATTCAAAGTGTTTGAGGACCGAGTCACGTCTAAGCTAACCAAAGTCGATGTTGTACAACCATTTGGGGCAGCTTTGAGGTATCTTGATTGAAAGTTTCGTTTTATAAATTGGCAATTAATTAAACGCAATTCGTTATTACATTTTATCGATCCCCCAACTTACATTCGTGGCCTATGGGCGAACCCAACGGACGGTAGGCCATTTGGTCGCTCGTGGCATGAAAAAGCATTTACTTTCGCATTTACGAGCTTGGAAATGCCATAAAGCTAAGCTATCCCAAATTTACGGAAGTCTTTAACTGTTTCAGATGCCTGGCCACCAACAACCTGGTGGCTCTGCTGGGGATGCTGACCACGAGCCTGCTGAAAATGTATCTCTCGAAGGAGGTCCTGCAGTCCTTCATCCGACTGGACTGCGTGGGCCACGTGGTGTGGCGATTCTTTGGCCTCAGCTCTGGGTGCATAGCCGCAGTTATGGCGGCGGAAAGATGGATGGCCCTAGCCAGACCCTTCATCTACCACAAGGTACGCACTCGATTGGCATATACGGGTATATGCTATATCTAAAGCTTTGGATTCCTAGTGTACGTTTATTTTAACGAGTGATATAAGTGCACACAGGAAATCAAAACATGGCCAACTCATTCAATTAAAATTCACAAATCCCCACATAGCACATTACCTACGAGCTCATTCGCAAGAGCATCAACAGCATTCTGATGATCGCCGTAGTGATCACGTTCCTGCCATTCGCGGGTTTCGGTGCATACATCGATGAATCCAATCCGGAACAGCTGAAGTGTATACGATATCGCGATGCGCCGGGAGTGTGGAACAAGTCGTATGCGGTGCTCTTTATGGTCTTCGGTAATTTAATACGAATTGGTGGCATTTGAATTATTGATTTGACAGTCCATGTAATCCCAGGCACCCTGCTGTGCATTGTGATTGTGGCCTGCAACCTTTTCGTGGCCCACACCTTGCTCTGCGTGATCGGAAGGAGTCGCACGGCCAAGCGGCACATGCACTATGACCTGGTCTCCAGGGACAAAACCAGTGCCATCAGCATCGATCCCGAGAGCAGCAGCGGCACCACTCTCTACCAGACGCAACTGAGCACCGGAAGCGGAAACAGCCATCGCAGTGTCCAGCCGACGAGGCAGTACAGGCACAGCGTTAGTGTCACGATGGCGGCCACCGACTCCTCGCCGGTGGAGATCAAGTTCGCCAAACTAATGGCGTTCCTCAGCATCTCCTTCGTCATCTGCTGGATGCCACAGATGGTGAGTGCCGGTTAAATACTAGCCTCAATCAACTTGACTGCAACTATCCTCGTTTAAGATCGCCATCCCGTTGGCCATAGCTCCAAATCGGGTGCCCACATCGAATAAGTTCTTCATCATCGCCGATGTGCTCACGGCATTGCACTTCACCTCGGATCCGTATGTCTATGTGCTGAGTCGCTCCAAGTCCATCAACTGGTCCTTGCTGGGCTGCATCAAGCGCTGGCGGAGCGGATGGCGTCCAGGCGGACTTCGTCGATCCCAGAGCGATCAGAGCCGCATGCGTACGACGATGACGGAGGCGAATACCCTGGAATTCAACTGATTCCACTCGATCCTCAAACCGCGCGCCCAAGTACTTAATCCCACTCCCCGACTCAGTGGGATCTCACTCAAATAGCGTCTCCACCTCCCTTGGAGCACTCCTGGGAGTAGCGCCTAGTCTCGTAAGCTGTAAATAATAAATATATCCCACTTCGTATCATACCATATCAGGGCTTTCCTTATATGTATGCTCACCTCACTTAATCTCTGTACCGATTTCTAGCATTAAATATACGCTTGTGTGAAAGAAATCAATTAACTGTGCCCTAAAGCACAAGATGGAGAGACAATTTACATTTCCATGACCCACGACAAACAGGAATCGCATTTGTTTTACAACTAGTTTTGTTTCTTTGTTTATTATAGAATTTATATGATTACATAAGTTGAATGGTGGTTGGCTGGTATGGTATGCGTGCTGGGAGGGGGGAATCGGGTAATATGAAATTCGATTCAATCAAGTTGTTTGTGTTGTTCTCCCTCGTCAGTTTCAATAAGCTTCGTCGTACAATGTATTCAACTGTTTCAACTAAAAGTTGGTTGTCTTCTTCTGGGTTTCCGTTCATTCAGTTTTTATGCAAATTGGGATGCAAATGTCAAATTGCGGGAAGAGATCGACTTGATCCGTTCTTCATCCTCCTCCTGGGCGTGAATGTATATTTTTCTTGTATATTAAGGTTTATGTTATGTTAAATTACGAATTCCTCCGACGTCTACTTAGTAGCGATTGTAACGACCGCGGGCGCGTTGGCGCTGCGGCGTGGCTTTGGGTCCGGCGCCAGCGCGAGTCAGCGCTGCCTTCTTGGCCGGCGATGGAGAGGCTTCTGGCGTCGCCGCCGCAGCTGCGGGACTGGCAGCAGCGGCTGAAGCAGCTGCCTTGGCCGGAGTCTTGGCTGGGGTCTTGGGTGCGGGTGCTGGTTCAGCGGGAGTAGGAGTTTTGGCTGGAGCTGGCTCGGGTTCTAGATCCTGCTCAGCCTCCTGATCCTCTTCCTGGGCCTCCATCTCCTCTTCGCCGTTGTCCTGGCCGCCGCCATCTTCCTCGCCCTCACCCTCGACCTCCTCATCGCCTTCGCCCTCGCCCTCGGCGTTATCCTCCGCCATCTCCACATCATCGTCGTCGCCGGTGGCCTCCGATGGATCGTACAGTTCACCCTCAGCGCCCTCGGCTGTTTCCTCGGTGGCGCCCTCGGCAGCCGGAGTCTCTGCCTCCTCAATCTTGCGCTTCTTACGCTCATTCTCCTCCAAGGCGGCAGCGGCGCGCTTCTGGGCAATCTTGGTATCGCTCGATTTCTCGTTGATGAACTTCAAGAAGTTGCGGTGATGGGTTGCCGTTCGGGAGTGAATCTCGGCGGTCACCTCGGTGTCAAAGAATTTGCTGCACACCGAGCACTCATAGCACTCCAGCTTGGAGATCAGACCGGGGCCGACAGCACGCTGCCAGTTGTACTTAGGCAGGCGGGTATCCACCTCGCTGGGGATCTCATCGCCGTCGTTGAAGTCAAGGATGCAGTCCTCGGGATCCACAGGCAGGGCCACCTCCTCTTCCTCCTGGCTCTCGTTGAGATCCTCACCCTCCTTGGTCTCGTCCGCTGCTTCTTCGCCCTCCTTGGCCTCATCGCCCTCGGCTTCATCACCCTCGGCACCCTCGCCATCGCCGGCACCCTCCTTCTTAGCCTCGCCATCGGCGGCTTCGCCCTCCTTCTTGACGGGCTTCTTCTTGCGCTTCTGGGGCAGGCGGAGATCGCGGGTCTCCTCTTCCTCGGTGCTGATGGGCAAGGTCTGGCGCTTGCGTTCACCCACCTTGGTGTTGCTCTCGGCAGCCTTCTTAAGATGTTCGGCGGACAGCAGATGGGTGTCGTAGTCAATGCGAGTGGCGAACTCCTTGTTGCACTCAATGCACTTGGGATGCAAGAACTTCTTCAGCTGCAAATGTCCCTCCGACTTGCGATGGGTCGAGATGTGACCGTGGAAGTTCAGATCGCACATGGTACAGTAGTCCAGCTGCCGCTGCTTGCTCTTTCCCATGCGCTTCAAGCGGTCAAACTCGATCGACTTGAGCTGCTCTGCGATCTTGGCCTCCTGACGGATCATATTGGCCTTGAGGCGATAGCTCTCCTCAATGCCCTCGCGCATCATCAGATGGGTGCGACCCTTGATGTGGTTCTCGAAAGAGTTTGCGTCCCACATGTGCTTCTTGCACAGATGACAGTAGAACATGTCGTTGGGGACACTAGCGTATGGAGACTCCTTGGTAGGGCTATAAAAATTGATCATGGATCATTTGTTTTGTTTGGGAAGGAATAAAGAAAGAAAAATTGATTAGTTTTCAAAGTTGAAATGCATAGACGGAAAAGCGTCTGGTCTGGCTATTGGGAAGAGATTATAAAATTAGAGGATTTGAGTGGTTCTCGCTGCAATTCATACTTATGATACGTACTGTACAGGTGGCGATAGGTGATACAATAGTAAATGTTTTTAGCTATGATTAGGATGCGTTACTATAGTGAGAATGATGGCTTTGCAAGGAAAAGAAATGTGCCATAGACTTATTTATAATTATGCAATATATAATTTTCAAGCTTAATTATTAAATATTTATAGCACTTTTCTTTCCCTATGAACTCTTACATTTAAAAAGTCATTCAAAATTTATATTCTTTAAAATCAATAAAAAATTCGAGGGAATTTCATATTATTGCAAACTTACACTCTTTGCACCATTTAAATTCAAATATTTAAGTTCGAATAGGAAGTTAAATTATGGTACTTTGATTTCTCTCCTTTTTAACTTTAAAAAATATTGTGTAATGTTTATAATGTACACAAAAAGCAAAAGAAAGCACAGATTATATTTTAACAAATTTTGTTTCAAGATAAATGATATTTAAAAAAATAGTATGAGCGTGGATATTATATAGTTTTAACACATAGATGTATACATATACAATTCCCTACCCAAATGAGTACCCGCCCAAAGTGCCCACATACACACAGTTATAAACAGCATCAAAAATATACTATCCCTAATGAGGAACTAATTCTAATTTAAAATACGTTTTTAGAGATGTATGAGGGAACGCAATTAGAGAATTGGAATGCCTAAGTACTTAAGTCAAAAGTTGTAATTAATTATTTGCCCTGCTAAGTTCGTTTTTTGTTTTGGTATTAGTGAAAGAAATCAATCCTTTCGATTTTGGGCAGCAAAATATTTATACTTTTTGTTGTGGTTTTGGTTTGTTTGGAAAAGTTGTAAGTCTTACCTCTCGATTTTCTTTTCGCCAGGAGTGGGTTCCTTCTTTTTATTTTGGTTGGCATTTTTAGCCAAAAGTTTCTTGGCACGATCAAAAGCATTTTGCTTGCGAATACCGCCGCCGCCCTGCTTTTGCGGGGGCTTGGGTCCACTACCAGTGGCGCCACGATTTTGGAAGCCACCTCCCTGGCCACGACGGTTATTGAGACGATTGCCGGCACCGCCGCCGCGACTGACCATCTACATTGTTTAGTTCGTCATTTGGGATTAACATTAACATTTTGCACAATTCGGAATGCACACATGGCGCATATGTGAATTGATTTCGTTTTGTTTTACAAACAGAGGCATTAATGATACAAAGCATTTTCGAAAGAACGGAGACAATATGGCGCGGTTGGCCATTTACAATATTATGTGAGGGGCGGAGCGATCAGATTGAACACATTATAGATAATTGCGAGGATAAATCGTTGATATATAGTAAAGTATACATAAGTACATGGAGCACAATGGTATATATTGATTTTGGTCAGGTCAGATCGACGGGGCAGTTGCGGCGGGCAATCAGTCGACGGGGATAGTTGGATATATATATATTGCATAAATATATATATACATATATATTCGTTGGCGTGTGGCGGCGAGTGGCATTTGAAAATGGAAATCGGATTTGAGTTTCAGAGGCAGGAACGTTGAAGAAGAATTGGCGATGAATTTGCATTAGACATAAGATATTAATAGGTATTTTCACATTGTGGTTTTGGATGTAATTATGTTGCACCATCAAGCAGTACCAGTACCAGATCGGATCAGTTTCGGTTTCAGAGCAGAGCAGATTAGAAGATTGCATGGCGATCGATGTCAATCGATCGAGCAATCGGTCAATCAATCAATCAATCAATCAATCAGTGGCGTCGCACGGGAAGCATCGTACAGTTTACAGTATCGCATCGTTGGTGAAGATTCGCATATTGGCCACAATGTGTGTGCATCGCGTGTGCGTGTGTGTTGAGTGTGTGTGCGTTGCGTTTTGTATTCAATTTTATTTGGATTTTCGAAAATATTGTTGGCCGTCAATGGAATGTATTTTTGGGCGGGGATTCGATTTTCGTTGATTGCAATCAATGGATTATTGCAAATGGGAAGAGTCATCATCAACGGCAGCAACAACACGCAACAGCGACAACGCCATCATCAACAACAACAACGACAACAGCGGCAGCAGCAACAACAACAGCAAGTATATATGCCGGAGCAGCAGCAACAACAATATGGAATGCATTATTCGAAATATGCAAGACGATGCGGTTTTCGATATTCGATATTTGGAGGTGTATTGAAAAGCATCGAATTTTTGAGTTTGGCATTGTTTGGTTTTGGAAGAGAGAATAAAAATAGATAATTGATAAATTAGAAAAGCGTTGTGGCAAATTGAGTAGTTCGACCAAGAAAGTTTCTTTTACTTGGCAATGGAACTTCGGAAATTAATCGAATTATAAATATGATAAAAATGTAATTAAATGCTTAAGTACAACTAGTAAGAAAATATTGCATATAAATTACTTATGATTCAATCTTGACATATGGAGATCATCATCATACTCTTTTCATCGTTAAGTGGAACAAATGTTGGCGGTACATGTTTTAATTGGTACATTTCATTATCAATACGTGTGTATTATAAAAATTTGTCATTTAATATTTTCGGTGTAATAATCTGGTTCTTGGTTCTTATTCGTTTGTGCAGTTTCTACGGAACAAAAAAGCATTGCATTTTAAATGGAATAAATGCGTTTTTATTGAAAACCTCCTCCTACCACATCCATCCTCCTGTTTAACAACCTTACATCCTGATAACTACACTGCACAAAGTTCTCATTACTTTTTTTTAATATTCTTTTTGCTGGTTTACGATTTTTTCAGTTGTCGGTTTAGTAAACTACAAGCTAGGATTAGATTTAAGATCTTTTTGGTTTATCTCTTAAAGGAAAAGCATTAGCTACATTTGGCAGTATTACAATCTAACTAAGGGTAAAACACAAAATAAAAAGTTCTGTTGTGGAGGGCAAGTATTTTAAAAGGAAAATATAGTATACTTGGTTTTAAATTAAAAAATATATTGTTAGGATCTATAAAGGTACCAAAAGGTACGCACACATTTTAGGCATTCCATATTCGGTTTTATCGATAAAAAAATTTAATCAGACAAAATATTAACATGTGCTTTAAAAATGGCAATATGATTCGGCTTGTGTTTTGTCAAATTCTTAAACACATTTTCACATATAACATGTATTCTGCTGCACTCCACCACAGAAATACGATTCGCAGTTCACGAATCCAGAAATAATAACAACATGAGTAAATATTACAATTCATTCGGTTGGCATTGTCAAAACATTTGGGAAAATTTAAACTTTTGTACATACCGGTCCACCACGTTGATTGCGATTTCCCATGCCACCGCCGCCGCGGGGCAAGTCGAGGAGCGATGGTGGATTCTGGTTCCTGAACAGATTGTTCAGCAGATTGTTGGCCAAGTTGATGGCCTGGGCGTTCATCTGACCGCCACCCTGACGCATGTTGTTACCAAATTGTCCGCCGCCAGGATTCTGCGACTCCCAGGGCGACATGTTCATACCGCCCATGCGGTTGGCGCCCATGGGTCCACCATAGTTGTTGTTGCCTCCTCCAAAATTGCGATTGCGGTTCTGGTTGCCACGGAATGCCATGTTGCCGTTGACCTTTGCGTTATTTACTAAACGATTCTGCTGATTTCCGTTGACCTTTACGCTGCATAAGTATATAAAATAATCATTAGTATTACTATAACTTTCTTTCAAGGTGATTATAGGGGGACCACTTTATTCAATAAAATTTTACTTTTCCGAGTGACTGTTTTGACTTTTACAATATTATTTTATTTATGAATTGCTTAGCCTGGCAACTATGTGATGGATGTACAATATTATTTTTTTTATAAACATTCAAAAAACAAATTTTAATAAAATATTTAACAGATAATTGGAAAAATAGAATTTTATAAACGGTAATAGGGTTGGAGTTGGGAACCTGGGATACATAAATAATTTCAAATTTTCGGGGTTGATGTGCAGCATACCTGACCATAATTTTGATGGGTTTTTTGGTTTTGTGGGAGAGTTTATGGGATGTGTAATGTAGGGTTTGTGTTTAAGCGAGCAAATTATTTAAGCAAGCTGAAAGGAAAACGGCACAAAGAACGAAACAAATGTTGAGAAGCAAACGGGAATTCATTAATTTTGGTTAGTAATCTCCTGATTCCTCTCTTTTCATCTACATCTACGGGTAGTTAAGTATTTTTGAACCCCATAAAAACGCGTAATACAACCCAGCGTGCGTATACACACACCATTCCACCTACATACACATATGTACATACATACACACAAAGAGATAAACGGAATGGGGAAGGGAATAGAAATGGGAACAATTTTGGCGCTACAGTCAGCAGTTTACATTAACAACATTTTAAACAGGTTTGTGCGACACTAACACATTCGTACCTTTTGGCCAATTTAACGTAAGGTAACAAAAACCCCTTAAATTCATCACTCGAGTGGAAAAAAGATGGCGGCCCAGACGGTGAGTGTGTATAAGTAATTGATTCAGCCAGAAAGCCGGCCGGCCATGTGAGTGCGAAAGGGAGGGCACAGTGAGCAATACAGAATAAAATAAAAAAGCCAAAACCCATTTAATCGCGATAAAAACATGTCTGGCACCAATAACGTATACTAAACGCATTAGTTTAACCTCTGGAATGTAAATGACTAACGCTAATAACAATAAACAACAATCAAGGCCTCGTAAACAAGCAGTTACCCTATTATCGCATTACTTCATACACAAATACATGCAAGGAGCCCCAAGGAAAATCAATAATTACTATTTTCAGATGCCCAGGGAAACAAGCGAATAAATACAATTTTTCCCAACAGGTACACACGCACAAGCAAAGCACAAAGGCGCAGCGCAAGTTTTCAAATTAGTTAGAAACTTACGTGTTGCAACGGCGAATTGTCAAAATTACTGGACTATTGCACTACAGATTTCCTTACTTCAGCAATATGGCCGCCTTCGTCGAAATACCACGATTCCTGAATATTTCACTGCGATCCGAACGACGAGAAAAAATCGAATGACGTATGTGGCTGGGCTAGGGATGGCCTAGTCCCGCCAGATGTTATCGATATAGGAAATATTCAGCCGCACAAACACTATCGGCAAGAACCACATCGATACCTTTTCCAGCTCTAGCGATGGTAGTGCGATACGCATATAAGCACAAAATATCGATATTCTTAATAAATAGACCGTTATATATTCCTTTTCTTAAATTTGTGCCCAAGCTAAGTTTTCTTTACATGTTTCAGTGGTATCATAAAACGTCTTTTAAAATAACTACACTTATCGTATCTTTTAAATGAAATATTGGAAACCACAACCACGGACACAAAATTAGAAAGTGTTATTGGCGTAAAAAAATGGATAAACTCAGCTTTATTTCAACACGATTCATGAAATAATTCACACAAATTGTCGTGATAATAATATTTTGTATTACAAATTTGATGAAGTATATACATATTTATTCAAAATTGGTTTTAGTTGGAAAATATTCCGTTACAGCATGGGCTCCCGTTCGACTCCTGAATTTTGGATGTGATAATCATCCTAAGTGACCAGTTAATTTGTAATGGATGGCCAAGTCCACACCCTTGCCATTGAAATTGCATGTCCATTTACTCGCCTCCCTCACGCAATTATACTTGTATACATTGGCCTTTGCATTGGGCTTAAGTTGACACTTGTTGTCCAATTCTCGACTCGGCATGAAATCATTTTTACCTGAGCTGTTATCATATATCAAGTACACTGTGCCAAGACTTGGATCGATTGGCTGATTGGGGTTGCTTAGCCTGAAACGTCTGACCTGAGCACTGACGCCCATGGCAATCATTTCCCTTTCCCTTTGTGCCTCTGGTGTATCCCGCTTAGGGGCAATACTTATATCGTTAAAGTATGCAACGTGTTTCTGAACAAAAGAGTCATGTGGGCAGCCACCCGTCTGGGTATAGTCTCTTATCCTTATTGTATTTCCTTGGAAGTTATCTCGCTTACAGTCGTAGTTAATAGTTAGTTGTGTACCTGTTGGCGGCTCCGAATTCAAATAACTATATGTTTGTGTTGTAAATTGGAATGAGCAAGTGGGCTCCAAATCACACAACATCTTCACCGGATACCGTGCATCTGCGTCAATCCTTTTACCATTATGATAAAAAGTACCCTCTTTAACTACGATATGATACCCTGGATCACAATCCAAACTGCACGTTTCTGGATCAGATTTTAAATCAACGTCGGCTCTTTTTGCAGATGCCTGTACAAAGAAAAAGGAAATTATAACTTCACATGTCACAAAACTCTCTTTTAACAATACAGTCAACAATACAATCTTTTAATACTGTGACCAAATTCAGACTTACAAAATTGATCAATAATAACACTAGGGTAGAGCCCAACGCTGCTGAAGTAACTGCCTTCATCTTAGCGACGAACAATAAACACTGATCTATGCTTGCTCAGAACAAGGCCTTTTATATTCATCGTCGAGATATGAAACTCACCAGTGAATTTGTTATCAAGGTATAGAATTGGCATTAAGACCTTTATGACCTTTTGTGATGAGCATAGACTTTGGCGTGATTGAATAAAAATAAGAACGTCTCTTGAAATTTCGGCTTGGTAGGTATTTTGATGTGCATTACTTTATTAAAAAACAACAGAGAATGCTATGCTCGAGTTCCCCGACTATCGGATACCCGTTACTCAGCTAGTGGAAGTGCGAACGAGAAATTTTCTGGAATATCGGTAGAAAGTGGGAGAAAAATAATAAAATTAACAAAAGTAAACAATTCATAAAAAGTGTATGCGTGATTTGTGGCCGTTAGAGTGGGCGCGACAAAAAGTTTTTTTGCAAATCGATGAACTTCCTATCTTTTATAGTTCCTGAGATGGAACACATCATTCGCCTATTCTGGCAATATATGAGTCCCTTATCAATATTTCGACGAAATATACATATGCATAATTTTTCCTGAGAAACTTGGCGTGTTATGACCTTAAAATATTCATAAATTCTGATTTCTAATTCTGTCCGTATTGATAATATAATGGAATGATAATGGAACACAACTTTTATTATTCAAATAAAATTACTAATCCATGTGCATATTGTACAAAACAAATTTATTAAACACTGACCGCTTACAATAAATCTAAATGAATTAGTGTAAGATATTTATATATCCGTACACATTTCACATACATTGGGGGAGCAGGCGAAGATGCATTTGTCTTTCAATTTTTAGCACACATTTTAACTTCATTATGCTATAGTTGCAGGTTGCGTGGACTAAGGTGGCCTAGTTAACTTAGAAAGTACAGAAAACAATATCACTAATACAGTTATGGACTGGCCAGACATCTAAATATGATTTATGAATTGAAAGTGCGGTAAACGGTTATACAAATTTAAATGTTGTACATTATTACTTATATTTTGAAGAAATTGCTTCTCTAATACATTTAAGCTAATACTTTCAAGCTCATAGTGATTTCGAGAACTCTTCAAAGTTGATTTTTTTGGGAACGGGCTATCGTGCTGGGGTATTTAAATTTCTTATTGGGATGTTTTAACAAGATTTCGATAGGGTGTGTCGTACAGTGCAGGAAAGTTTTGCTGGAAAGTTTGCCTGCGAGGAATTCTCTTCTGTGTTCCAAAATGTTTATTTGGGATTCGATGATTAGGTTGCTAGTTGGCGTTGTATACATATTACAAACTGATATTCTTTAGAAAAACATGTAAAGAAAAGGAATATATAACGGTCTATTTATTAAAAATATCGATATTTTGTGCTTATATGCTCACCAGTGATGCCAATTTAGTCTTTTTCTGGACAGATCTGTCTGGACGGAACATTTAAAATATTAAATTAAAAGTTAACTAAATAAAAAATAATCATAAAAAAATCTAGCCTGTTTGTTCATCCCTTTTTGAAATTTTCAGCCTTTTTTTTTCCTTTTTTTTCAGAAAAATATTGGCATCCCTGATACAAAGTGCGACTAAATTAATCTCGAGCTGTAAGTAATTAAATAATAATATATTTTGTCATAATTATATTAGTGAGTGAAATAGTGAGGTCTTTAAAGTGAGTAGTAAAAATTGTCTTAAATAAAGCCTGAAGAATGTTTAACTTACTGTTGGAACACAAAGTTATCGCCGCTTTGAATATGTGCTTAGGAGTCATATTTTCTTGTAGCCCTATAATTCCCAACTGGTTCTAGTGAGGACTGTAAGGCATGTCTTCTAATTTACCCGTCGAGCAGTGAGTGTAGTGTATGTGTAGTGTACGCACCGGAGTATGTATGTAAGTATGAAGGATGTATGTCTGCACGTATGTATGTATGTATGTATGTATGTATGTATGTATGTATGTATGTATGTATGTATGTATGTATGTATGTATGTATGTATTTATGTATGTATGTATGTATGTATGTATGTATTATATATATATGTATGTATGTATGTATGTATGTATGTATGTTTACCTGAAATATCTGAAAAAAAAAGATTGCACCGCGTCTAAGTATATCAACTTTCTGGATCTTTTAGATTTCGAGTTGAAAAATTAACGGAGTCTCGCGGACGTACTTTTAATATGTAACTCTTATAGTCTACAATAAAGGATTCAAAAAAGCTTCCCAGAAAATCTGATAAGCTGGTTTGACCGTTCAATTAAAAACAAATATGCAAGCAGTTTTCCGGTCAGATTTCGACTGTTAGTTACTGAGTTATTGCTTGGTTACTATTGGTTATCGGTTGATAGTTTCGATTTTTATCAGGACGAGTTAATATAAATCAATCTTCAGAAAATATTCAATAAAATCAGCTGAAAACTAAGAAAGTACGTACCTTTATTCAAATTGATAGAAAGGAAAAGCACAGTCCGTTTTTTTTTGTCCATTGTTTCCAAAATGCCGTGATTTTGAGCAGTACCAAACAAAGTCCATATTTGAATGACATCATTCGATTTTATTGAATTTGCATAAAACTGGCGCAGATCTTGCGACACTGCACCCTTTGCAATGCGTAAGCATCGTTTAATTTACATACAAAGGGAGTAAACATATTAATTAAACGTGATAATAGGCAATACTCATATGATCTAGCTATTGCTTGTGTGTGTTTAGCAATCGTATTACTGCTGGCTCTTGTGTAGTTAATTAATTAAGTACCACAGCGTAAAATGGGCTCAACAAAAATATAGGTGGCATATTTTTCTATCTCGACCCCTTATATTTTTATCCCATTTTTTTTTTGGTTTGTTTTGTGTCTTTGTTTCAAGTGCATTGGCGCCACTAAAAGGCCTAGGGGGATTTTGTAGGGGTGTGAGGGATCAATTAGGGTGAGATATTTATATATCCATACACATTTCACATACATTTACAATTATAATCGATTGGGGGAGCAGGCGAAGATGCATTTGCCTTTCACTTTTCAACACACATTTAACGTCATTATGCTATAGTTGCCTGTTGCGTGGACTAAGTTGCGCTAGTTAACATAGAAACTACAGAAAACACTAACCCACAACTAGGATTGCTCGCGAAATCGCTAGGAGTCTTAAAAAATGTGGGGTTTGTAAACGGTGCTGCATTTGCTTTACAATATCTTAGCTCTTCTAATACGTTTAAGAACGCTGCACCGCTTATAATTTAAAAGTGGCTCAAGGTAGAAGTGTGCAATACATATCGAATTTAAAAGAAAATTGAAGCTTTCTTGAAAACTAATACAGTTTTGGACTGGCCAGACATCTAAATATGATTTATGACTTGAAAGTGCGGTAAATGGTTATACAAATTTAAATGTTGTACATTATTACTTATACTTTGAAGAAATTGCATGACTAATACATTTAAGGGAATACTTTCAAGCTCATAGTGATTTCGAGAACTCTCCAAAGTTCGCGTTGATTTTTCGTGTATTGGATCTAGGGAATAGAGGGTGTTGGGAACGGGTAGGGTTCGAGCCTCCTAGCCACCCACAACGTATTTACAAGACGGCCACGGGAAAGCGCCCAGGTGCACCTAGTAAAAGAATAGCAGCCGTTCCTGGGCAGAGGCGGAAAGCAGGCGCCACGATCGCTTGATGCTGACATACTGTATTAGAGCACGTATGCTAATCAGGAAGCCAAAGGCGCAGATCAGCCACCAGAGCCAGGAGTTTTCGTGCGAGGCCAAATCCGTCGAGTGCTTCACGATCAGCGTCCATTTGGCTAGCGACAATCCGAATCCCGACAATGCTCCATATCGGGCGGCAATTGTGTGACAGAAACAGGTGAGCATCAGGAAGCCGATCCAGTTGAACAGAAACGCGACAATGAACGCCGTGATGAACATGATGTCCGTGCCGAGCAAGTTGTCGGTGGTGGACAGACTGTTTTCCGGATCGCTGGCATCGATGGCGATGAACGTGAGTGCCGGCTGGGCGGATCGCACAGCAGCGGCTCCATCGCGCAGCGGATTTGGCGGCAGTAGCGGATTCGGCGGCGGTGGAAGCTGCTGCGAGGAGGGCAAAGTCAAAAAGGCGGGCGGCAGCTCTCCGTTCAGCGACTTCTCCATTTGAACCTCCTCGTAGGTGGGCAACTTCCCGTGTATCTCTGGCGGTAGTTGTGCATTCATAAGGTCCGCCTGGCCCGGCAGCTGCACCTGCATCTGCATCGGGATCTGACTGGGATCGGGGTTGGCTAGGGCCAGCGGTGGCATCTGAGCCGGCAGTGCCACCTGCTGGCCATGGCCCACGTTCGCCTCGTACGGTGGCGGAGCACTGAAGTCCGCCTTTGGCGGTCCCAACTGATCGTCCCCGGGAGACGGCTGGTTGTTGTGCGGCATGACTAGAAATTACAAACGAAAAACGGGTATGTTAATTCAGTGTTAAAGGGGATACAGAATATATGATTGATGACAGCTCAAGGTGTAGTCCTAAGAAAAAGAGTCTTTAGAAATTCTGTGCTTTATTACATATTAAATTAAAGATTTCCTTAATTTCGCATGATAATCTTTTCACACAGAAATCTTTTTCACACTGTTTAATATTTTCATGCAGCTCTAAAATGAACATGAACAATTAGCAGAAACCCAAGGCCATTACAAATTTTTTGCAAACTATTTACAATAAAATTCAAAAAGAAGCTGAGAAAATTCGAAATTTGTCTTATCTAAATTGAAAGTAAAGCAGGTGATTTAGTTTAGTTCTCGCTTTTATTAACGATATTAGTTCACGCGTTTTTTAATAAAATTAGGTGTATAATAAATAAATGGGCGGCTAGCTGCCAAAATTGCATTGAATTATAACTAGATTTATTTTTATCTCTCTCTGAGCAATCAGTTTTCGTTCGTTAATACTTGATCTAAATATTTTATAGGCACGTCAGTAGGCACTTAGAACTACAGCATTCGGCATCCCAATCAGATGGTAAAAAGAATAGGTTCGTTTAGCAGTTAAAATAAACAGTTGGACATGTTAGACATTAAAAAACAAATGAGCAGCCAGGCTAATTAGTTAGCGCAAAAGTTCGTTGCAATGCCTGGGGCGATTGGATGCTGCCGCTTGAAGGTACGCCTCCTCCAGCGATAGGATGCGGCAGGGGCCAAAGGGACGTCTCACTGGGCGCAAGGGTCGCAAACCATCCACCTCGTCCATGCCCTCATTCTGACAACCACCGTCGGTTGTTGTGGTTGTGGTGCTGTCATGCAGCTTTTGTTTTTGCAGCTTCTCGTGTCGCAAGTACAAAAGCACACAGCACATGGCCATAAACAGAAGGGCCAGTGTTGCTCCGCTAACAATGCTGGCCTTTTCTAGCATCACGCGGTTCCTGGTTGGCAGGTACGAGCCATCAATCTCCTTGTACTCGCACCTCGGTCCCATAAATCCCAAGGCACATTCGCAGTTGTATAGCATTTCATTGTGGATCTTCACGGTGAAGCAGGTGGCATCGTTCAGGCAATACCAGGCGTCATAGGTGGGTGGACAGGCGAAGATCGGGAAGGTGACATTTGGCCTGGGCGTTGTGGATATCTCCACATTATCCGGCGGCAGGATCGGTGCAGCTGTGGGCCGCGGCTTGGCGATGGCACGCGAGGAACAGGCGGCGGTGAGCGGTAGATAAACGCCGATTAAAGCGGTGGCAAGCAGCAGCAGATCCTGGACTCGCATCTTGATCTTAACTCATGGCAGCTTACTTGGGAATGTGGTTATGCAGTGTGAGGTGTTTTGTAATGTGGAATTCTTGGCTTTGGCTGGCAGGCGGCTGCAAAACAAAAACGAAGTGCGATTAAAAACAAATCAAAAATGTAAGCTCGTGTTCGGGTCTGTGTGGGTTAATTGCCTGCCTAGCACCGCCAGCCGCCTCCTTCTCACAATTACAACCTATGCTCCTCGACCTAAGTGAGAACGAGAAACAGAAAATCGAATTTCATAAATTTTTAACAAAAAAATTGCATCGTTTATTTACCTGGCCGGAATCGCGAGCGGAACCCAAGCGGCTGTGGCACTTGCACAGCCTGCATTCATTATCAAGTAGTTTTTCTGTTTACACTCTCACTTAACATATCGTACACTTAAGGCACTTCAAAATATAAAAACTGTATAATACAATATGTTTTTAAACGTAAAAAAATTGGCTTAACCTTAGGATTTCGCTATGCTTAGTTATTTACAAGATTTTTTAATGTATTTGCATGTATTCTTAAAATGATCTTTTCCGGACATAGAATGTTCTTGCTTTCTTGTTACTCGACTACGCCGCTTCATTAGAATGAAACTGATCCCGTTGCGTTAATAAACAATAAGAATGATATTCAACTCTGTTTATATCAACAGAAATGATGTTGAGTAATTCTGCTGAAAACAAATAGATAATTTTTTAGCAACAAGCGACCGTTTGAGTGGGCGTATAACAACATAAACAAATTAGTATTCGCCTTAGCTGTGATTCAGATATTCGCATTGCTAAGTCCATAATAGCAGTGCCGATTTCAAAAACGCTTTATTTTACGTAAATTAAAACTCCAACTGCACTAACAAATCAAATTAATTTGAATAAAATCTTAGCCATGCCATCTGAACTGTCTATTATTATATCTAGAAATCTGTCAATGAAATTCAACTGTTTTATTATTCGAACATGCAATATTTTACATTATTAATCAAAATGGAGTTATATTATATTTCATGTAAGTAATGAAAAATGGAATTCTCTAAGAAGACCGATATAAAGCTGCAAATATGATATAGATGCACCACATTTTAAAAAGTTTCGCTTCTGTCACCTGTTTCGACTTTAGCACAGTAAAATTAAGGAGTAAGAATTGGATATTGTTGATCTTATAATTTTACATTGTTATAAACTAAGTCCATCATGTATTAGATACAAATATTAATCTTAAGCTTTCCAGGACTCTCGTCACTAGTCGGGATCTCAAACCACAGTGGAGAGTCCGTGGACTGAACCGTGTCCACTTGCTTTGTAAAACTTTTCTGAAGCCACAGCCCCATAAATCTTTCTCTTTTCCTCCCATCGCATGTGTAGCACGCACCTACGACTAAAAATAACAACAACAATGCTTACGAGTGAAAGTCAACAGCTGAAATGGCAGAAGAGTGCGAGTGCGAGTGGGACAGTGCGAAAGTCTCAACATATAAATGCAAATAATATGACCTTTCGGTCAATTGAAATAAAAACTGAGCCATACAAGCAAAACAAAAATAGTTCAAGCCCATAAAGAAACTGCGTGAGTGGGCTTAAGTTGGCCCTAATTTCTGCTAGTGCATGTATGGGTTTTTTATAGTGGTTTTGTATATGTATATGTGGGTGTGTGGGTGAGCCGGACGTAAGCTTGAATAATGAGCTAATAGACGCCAACGAGCTAAATGAGCACCTGGGGGCTTATCAAAAATTGACCTCAAACAACTGAGTGCACAGAAATAAATATTGATATGTTATGGTAATCAATTGGATTGTTGTGATTGTAATTGTAACGTGATACAACGTTATGTTTCAATATGAATTTGTGCATATGCACAAAATAATTCATTAATATAAAACATTTAAAATGCTCCATTAAAAATAGTCAGTTTCACCTGTAAATTTCAATTTGATATTTGCTAATTGTTTTCCGTGCACAGAAATATTTAAAAATTCAACACAGAGAAAGCAAACAGTATTGATAAGGTGACGAATACCATCCACATGTGCGGAACGCTAGTGGATGCTAAGTAGTAATTACAGTTACCTGCGGATGAGTCAGAAGTGCGGGCATTTGAAATATTGCAAAATTGCACGAAGCCGAGTGTACAGTTGAACTTCTCTGCGTTTTGCCAATACATTTGATAATGCCATTTTTTTAATATTCCGTGTAGTAAGACATTACAAAGAATTGACGGACTTTAAATAAATTTTGATTTAAAGATTCCTAAGTAAAGTGTACTGGTCTACACTCTTATTTCTTTACAATTCACTAACAATCGTGCTCAAGTACACTTATAGTTTACATGCTTCAAAGCAGGTATTAATTAATTTCAATAAATTATACATATATACATATATACAAATATATTGTCTAGAAAATAAGTTTATTATTGAATTTCTGATACTAACTAAAGAAGTTTAAACGCAAGTGAATCGATAAAGTTTAGAGTTTGTACGCATTTAGAGTCTATCCATACGCATCCAACGCATAACAAAAATTATTATTAATGAATTAAATATTATTTCTAAGAGATATGAGAGTTTTTGTAGAGTAATATACTTTTTCGGTATTTTTCATTCATTATTTCATCTGCATCTATAATTCCAAATAATTTTTGTATATAACATTTCACAGTATACAAAAAAAAAAAAACACAAAATTTATCGAACTATTTTTATTAGGTATCAATGGAATTCATTATAATTAAAGATTGTTGGGTCTTAGCCAAGTTATACTGTAACTCAAACTGAGAAGTTGAGAGGGAGAAAGCAACAGGGCCGTGACAAAAGGCGTTGGAAATTAGCGAATTGCCGTGGAAAAGTAACAACGCAGTTTGGGCCAGGTTTTGGATTTCAGCCGGAGTTTGTTTGGTGATAAGAAATTTGAGCGCGTGGACAGCTGCCAAGCAGCAGGTGTGCGCGAGGGAGAGGGCGATAGAGGCATCACTGGAATAAGCATGAAGTAAACCAGTTAAACGGGACCAGGAGCACAAAAGAGAGCATGAAGATGCAAGCGGAAGAAGCTGAAGAAGATGCAGATGGAGCTGTCTGAATGGAAGGTCTCTCAAGGGGCAATTTCCTGGATTGAATGAAAAACACACAGACACCTACAGCTGCATTGGTATTGCAATGGAATAGAGAAAGAATAAGAGTAGGGGCGAAGAGGGGCGGTGGGCGACTACGAGAACGAGTTTCCAAGCAAACGGCGCTTGTTGTTATTGTACAAGGGCAAATGAATTAATTTACTTGTGTAAATATGAATTAAATAAACAAGTACACCGACACACATGCAGACTTATCAAAGTGTGCACTTTCGTAGGCATTTAGCACCTGTGTGGCGATATCTAGCAGAATTAAGATTATTAATGTGCTAAACAAAACATGAGCACATGTACACACACAATCACACAACTGCTGGTACAAGAAAAAGGAGGGGGGAGAGAGCCTTAAATCTACAGGAGCGTTCCTGTAACGGTTATCTCTTTTACTTTCTTCGCCCTTTCTTTTCACATCTATTTGTGCACCCGATTTTAATTCGATTTGATTCTAGTTCGCCTTTTCTGTGCCATGTTCTATTTATTCACCTTGTTTTCTTCTATGCGTTGGTCGATTGCGATTGCGTTCGCTTTTCTCTTTTGCGCAGCGCTCTCTCGTTTCCGTTTTATTGATTTTGTTCGAAATTCTGTTGATTTGTTGTTGCCAAACACGCACTCAGCTAATACTGTTGGTTTTTTGGCTACACTGCGACAGTAGGCGATTCGCTTTCGAGTGGCTTCACTGTACGCAATTTAACTTATTTAAAACTGGGCTCACTTCGCGAGCGAAGCGAAAAAAACAAATGCACCACCAGGAATAATCTTCGATTTCTGAGCTAGTGGTGGCCAGTTGCTGTGCAGTCCGTATCGATTGTAGGGATGAATTCGTGATAAGCTATCGAAGCATAGGAAATTAGATAGCAACATCGAAAAAAACATTTTTTAACTTAACATTTTGTAGAAACAAATATCTAAAAATAATAATAACGTGTTTATCAACGCTGTTTACAAATTTTAATTATTGCCTAATTCAATAAACTGTCTGGGGAATACCCTAAACAATAAAAATACAACCCAACTCCAAGGCGATAACAATCGATAAGGTCGTCCGAATAATATATGTTTCCCTTCTCCCCATCACTAAGCTAAGAAAATTTGTAAACAACGACGTGGACGTAGTAAATTTAATTAGAATTTAGCCAGTAAAATGCATAAATGTGCGTTCTTCCTTCTACTGGCATTAAGTGTAAGTTATGTCTGACGCTAAAACGTGAAACACAACTATATTTTATCCTCTACAGTGCCAGCAAATCCAAGCCGAACTGACGGCCGCAGACTGCCGGGCGTTGGGTTTCATAAAGGCCCAGCTAATGTGCTCCAGTTGCGACAAACTGGATGATTTTGGACTGGATACCATCAAGTGGGTTCAATAATTTAACGTTAATCTAGCTTGGAGTTGTAAAGATACCCAATGCCCATTCGTAAATTTTTTAAAAAATATCTTGATCTTATAGGATAGGGTAAACTATTTAGCAGGTTTGATATCGAATTTGTTTAGCTTGACAAAGGAAACGACTTAAAGTATCTTTAAGCTCCGTACCACTTATGAAATAGAACCCTCATTCCAGTTTTTATTACCATAACGTATTTCCAACTGAAAAATTTATTAAGTTCCTGTTTAATAACAGGAATATGGGCTTATGCCCATATTTGCATTTTTATGTTTACTTTATACTTTTATATTGACTCAAAGCCTTTTTTATATTTCAGACCTCAGTGCAAGCAATGCTGCACTTTGGATCAACAGCCGGCGGCACAGCGTACCTATGCCAAGGCCATTCTGGAGGTGTGCACCTGTAAGTTCCGGGCCTATCCGCAGATTCAGGCCTTCATCCAAAGTGGACGGCCCGCCAAGTTCCCCAACCTCCAGATCAAATACGTAAGGGGGCTGGATCCCGTGGTCAAGCTCCTAGACGCCAGTGGTAAGGTTCAGGAGACGCTGTCCATAACCAAGTGGAACACAGACACTGTTGAGGAGTTCTTCGAAACGCATCTGGCCAAAGATGGTGTCGGCAAGAGTTCGTACAGCGTGGTGGAGGATGCCGACGATGATGATGAAGATTACCTGCGTACCAACAGGATCTAAAATAAGCATTCCCAAACATTTAGATTAATAAAATCAATAGAAATTTCATAGTTCGTACCATTACCTCTCAAAATCTTTGAATAATTGTAATTTCGATCTGATTTTGTAACATATTTGTTGTAGAGGAAACTTAATGAACTGAAACAGTGCTGTGGTTTTATATAAAATGATAGACAACGAATTCGAAATTATACAAATTTATGGAATGTCGAACCACTGATGCAAATAATCTGGGATATTATTCAAATTGATATACATTTTGAGGGATTTCTCTTTAACAAAATTGATTTAGTTTTTAAAAAGGTTTTACAGCCACTGCTAGGTGTAGCATACGGCTGAGCTTTTCTACGCGCCACCGTGAAAAGCTGTGAAAACAGTTTGAGTCACATTGGAAAGCCAGTTACTGCAATGCGACGCCGTGGGAGTTTGGATCCATAAGTATAAATGAAATCATTTTATTTGTTATCTCGTTATCGATGGCAGAGGAAAGTTCCCGACTGAGACAACAAAGTCGCGGCTTTGTAGCCGAAATTCCTATCGGAAAGACATCAGACCGTCCCCCCTTTGTGACCGTCAGCAGTGACGTAGTGGGCTCACATGGTGGGGGTCCTAAAGTCGATCAATATTTGATCAGCCTGCTGGAGTAATTGTGGTAACTGAAACGGCAAACAGCATATGTACATATTTCTCGCCGCCAAAATCGTAGCTGATGTCTATTTCCGATGTGTGACGACGCAGCCTTGACATCGCCGTCTTTCCGCTCTCTTAATCTTGATTTCATCCGGATACCGCGCATAAGCAAACAGTTCCTAATTCGACCATATTATAGTGGTATTGGTGGTCTAAGCAAATATCACCGGCATGTAATGACAACTTCCTAGCATTTTAAACTTTAATAACTACTTTGTACTCTCATACAATATGTAATTTGATCAAATGTTTTTAAACTTATGTAAATGGGTTCGGAGGACTTAACCTATAAAAAGTTGAAAACATTGCAGGTACTTATGTGAATTATTATTGTCGAATTTTTTTTTAATTGACCTGCATACAAATATCTTAGGTATAAATGATGTATTTTCAAAAGTATTAATGCAAGTAAACGTTTAGCTATACTGGCGCTTTGAAGAATGCATTACAAATAACATGAAGCTGCTACAACTGATTACAGCAAAAAATTCTAAAAATTCAGTAATGCGAGCGAGTGGTAGAGCGAAGAGCAAGTTATATTGCTTATCGCCTGTTTACGTTTCATTACAAGTTTACACGAATATACATATGTACATTAGTGTTTATTATTTGCTGTCCTTGTTGTTAATTGTTGCAATCGAAGGTGCTACGGCGCTACAATAGGCTGTACCTCCTTGCAGCACCGCGAGGGAGCCTTTATCACCACTGCCCTTGAAGGGAATGCAGCCAGCACGTGAGCCAATACAATCCGATCCAAATCCAATCTCCAACGTCAATGCTGGGCCCTCTGATGCGTACAGATTATTTTTAGCCGCTGCTATCACACGCAGACCCATCGTACGGATATGTGTACAATTCAAATGTATATACAGGGACAGTGTACCTCTAAATGTAAATGTACGCACTTTGGGCACGTGCCCCGCCTAAATGGATGGAACCACAGACGTACTATTTTATTGTAAAGGATATGGGCGAAATGTGTAGCTGGCAGCTGAGGAGAAAGTGTGCATATGTCAACATGCTTGCCACAATCTTAAAGTAAATGTAATATGAAGATATTATCTTCAAATACTGTATTCCATTTTCGAAACACTTGCATGAACTTCCAGTTGAACCAGAAAGGTAAGCCATTCACCTTTGTGTATTCAATTTGGATGTCGTCTCCCAATTAGTACTATTAAAAGGGTAATTACTAAACCATTGACGTTCTGGCAAATATGGCCTTTTCTGCTATGCATACTGTTATCAATCAATGGGGAGGCGCTGTAATCAATACTAATTATTTGCTATTATGATTACTCTTGCGAACGCACACACACACAGCGGTATGCATTACAATTGGAATCCGAGAATCTCTTGCGTTCTTATCAATTGTGTGCCATATAAGCAACTAGGGTGCATTCAACTGGTCCGTGTTGCAAAAACTTCGATATATATATATGTATGTATGTACTTTCTGTATAAACGATGCTCTTGCAATAGGCATCAAAAAAGTAGCAAAAACTATTCTAGAATGCTTAAAAAACAGCCGGAATATTATAAATTGCACTTCAGACAATAAAGAAAAAATTTTATTATAATTAGGATTAATATTGGAATTCCACAAGAAATGCTTTTAAATATAAATATATAATTAATATTTAGAAACATTTGTAGAGGATCCCAAGGATCATAGAAGTTTATCAAGCTTGTTATGGAAAGAAGTATGTCTTTACGATTCAAAATGATAACTTATTCACCAAAATTGTTATAGAAATATCTAATGAAATTAAAAGATTGTCTATTTGTGGTCTACATGATACTGTTTCAAAAAAAATTAACTCTTTCAAAAATGAAAATAGCAACATACCCAAGTTAACGTCATTTAAAATACTAATGGCTTGACCGCTGCTGTCTTTGAGGAATATGAGGAATCCAGCTGGCTGGAGTGAAAGTAATAGCAATAGCGGTGTAGCAGTGTAGCATTGTATAAACAGCAATGGCAATGTCCCCAAAGACCCCCCGGAAAGTGGAGAGATTGGAGCTTGGGCGGGTGCCCCCAGTACTGCAGCTGAAGTGGTCATGCTAGAGGAGCTGAATAATGTCGGCCGATTCTGGGTGTGGATTGTGAACTGGAATCGAATCTGTTGTTGTTTCTGCTGTGCGAATGCGAATGCGAATGGGAATGGGATTGCTGATAACATTTGCGCATTTGGAGTGGCTTGGGGGTGATAACGATAATGACGTTATCGTCACAGCGTCATCACTTCCAGCCAACCCCCCCACACTCACAGATTTAATTTCATGCCATTTTAACACTTAATTAAGATCTAACATGAACACGAAATAATAATAAACACCGAGCTATCTCGCCCTAACGCTTTCCGTTCGGTTCTGGCGATTTTAGTGGGTACAGTCGTACCCCCCGAAAGATGAAGATGATTGGGGCGCTCAACCTTTGTTGACATTATAATTAAAGATGCGAGTGCGAAAAGTAAACATAAGCAGCAATTAACGCCAGCGAAAACATTTCAATCGAAATGCTTCGATTTCAGGTCTAGTATGGAGGCTTGACTGTATTGCGTTATGCTCTTTACTACATGTGGGGATTGCCCTTTACCGTTATACCTCCGATATCTGCTCTCCCACGCAAATAGACGTTTTTGATTTTTCTCTCTCTACTCTAAACTCTCTCTCAACAGAGAAAACAAATCGGATTCCTTTCAAATAAGATACGTAGATATTTGTGTTTCAAATCAAATACCAAATAAACTAAGGCAATACAGCGCAAAAAATGTTCAGTCTGATACATGTCTTTCCAGTTTTTCAACACCGATATGCTACTTTTATGAGAGCTAATAACTCTCTGAAGGTTTTATCAGTATTTTTCAATCACAAAATTCAGATTAAAGTGGGGAAAGCAAATATAATTAATGCTATAAGTTCATTTAGTAATTATACTGATTAAGGAAGGGCTACATTATATACATATATTCTCTCTACATAGATTATAACTTTTCTTGCCGTGTGGTGTGGCTCATTAGTTCCTGGCTTGGGCTCTCCAGCTTTGTTCGAAAGTTTCTGCCTGTAAAGATCGAAAACTTGATTTTGGAATTACGAGCAGCTTGTTTAATTTATTTATGTGTATAATTTATTATTTGCTCTCCGGATCCAGCGATCCGGCGATCCGATCCGTGGCACATGTGCAAATATGTACCAAGCATGCTGGAAAAGTAGTAGATTCCGAAAGAGGAGTATTTTGCCGTAGTGCCCCCGCCAGTTATTTAATATGCCGCATTGAACTTTGACTACTTAATTTAGCGCACACAAAGCGCTAACTGCGTCGCGCTTATTAACGAAGACTCAAACTACATACTTACTAACACATGTCATTTGGGAGAGCGGGCGAGCCATTAATGAATGTGCTCGATTACTATTTTCTATAAATTTACATAATTTTACGTGCCATTATTCGAACACCAAGAAATGCAGTCGCCCACGTAAACGGAATTTCGGATCAACAGGTGCTTGGCTTGTGCAGAAAAAGCACAGAAAAAATAACCAAGATAGTACTGGTTTTTATCAAAAATACATGCAAAGCAGCTTAGATAATATGTAATTCCTTAACAAAACCCACGGTAAATCTAAAAAGAAACAAAATCATACTTTTTTCTGGACTTTAAAATCAAATTCAAGATTTATTTGAAACAAATAACTGTGTTATTACATTGAATATAATCTTATGGCTTATTCTCCTCGGTTTTGCGGTATTTGTTGCTGTTGTTGGTGTACCTTTATTTTTATAAATGTAATTATATATTACATACACAATTACTTAGTACATATCGTATAATAATAATAGTATAATTTATAATTAGCATTCCTCTCTCACTTACCTAGTATTATTATAATTCTTCAAGATTTTCATTTTATTTTTTACGTGTATATTTTAACACAAAGCAGCAGAGACAAATGTTATCGATCTATGTATGTATATATGTATATATTTTGCGCGTTTCCCACATAAATTACATTTTAAATTACATTTATATATGTATTTTTCTTTTTCGTCGCTTTTGTGTGTCGCTTGTAAAGTTTTTCTCGTCTCATTTAAGTTTATGTTATAACTAGAGTTTTACATCGATAATTAGAAAAAGGAAATTTTCATGTTGGGGCTTTATTAGCAAAAACATCTTTCTTACTAGTATTTACCATTATTATGAATAGTTAAGTATGTATATATTTATAAGAATTTCTCGTACTCGACTCGAATTAAATAAAACATTTTCTCTTTGCACTTTTGAAGCTTATTGGTTTTGTATCTTTTTCCCACTTTTATGATATTATAACAATTGTTAAGTAGATTTAGACTCAATGATTTGTGATTTTGTTTTACAGATTTCG